AAAAAAAAAGAATTAAGCCATAGACTGCTGAGCTTAAATGCTCGTCGGAGTGTGAAACTGTTTCGAGGTAAGAGAGAGAAAGTGTTCCAGAGAGAGAGAGAGAGAGGGGCAAAGTGTCTCCAGATGGGGTGAATAAATAGGCCGGTGGTGGAGGAAAGGAGGAGCCGTGTGTGACGGGACACGTGGCAGTGTTAGATGTATGTTTTCTCTTTTTCCAAACGATATGAAGATCTTATATTCACAACAAAATTGAGACTACAGACCAACAACTCAACCGAATAAGCGGGCAACGGCCGAATAAGCTGAATAGTTGACTCCAGTAAATAGGACTACACTTACAATAGACACACCGACGGTAGCCTAGAGTCAACATATAATACACACACAACTATACACTCCGAAAAGGAGAAAACACACAAAAGCTCCCAACAGAGAATAAACCAAAAGCTCCCAACAGGAGGATACACCAAACACACTCCCAAAACAATGACAAAACAAATCAAAACACACAAACACTAACAACAATCTAAAACAACTATAACAGAATAAAACTAGCAACACAGACTAAACAATCCTCCCCCGGCAGACACACTCCACCAAGCTACACAACAGCAACGCTTGACAGACCTCCATCCAACCGGACCAAGCCGAATCCCCAGAGTTCGACGACCCATAAACTGCAAAGGAAAGTCTAACTAAGTCCGACGCCAACGGCTCCAACCCGAATCTTGACGAACGCCCCAGTCCTATTATAGATATCCTCACCTATCCACCCATAACCGATACCAAACAAAACCAAGCCAAAAGCTCGAAAACCATGACCTATGTCTGGCCTTAGCAGCCAAACCCCTCAATCCAACACCAGGAATAGTGGAGCAGCTCGGTGGAATTAGTTGGATCTCCCCCGAATCCTCCCAAAAGTGAAGAACACGGCCCGCTGCCCAAACTTGAAGAAGCACCGGGGATTCGCCACAGCAGATGACCAGGAAGACAACCACCTTCAGCCTCATCCTATCACGTGAATACCACGTTGAAAAACTAGACCACAATTTAAAATTGTAATTTTATTGTTTGACATGTAGTTGTTTACAATAACCTTTTAAAATTCAAAAGGTTGATTTAAAAAATAAAATAAAATAAAAGCTCGATATATTAGTCTTTAGGAATAATAAATGTAATTTTTCACATATCAAATAGATCTTTAGGAATAATAAATGCATTTTTTTTTTACATATCAAATAGACCAAATGCTTGTCCTTATCAAACAGTCCGCTATGATAACAAATAGTTGATTATATTAGCAGATAAGTGACAGCGAATATAATCTTATTTGACAATAAGATTGTGTTGATGGTTTGTAAATAGCGATTTCTATAATTATTATGAAATTTTTACATTCGCATGTTATTCTACCAATACTCGCCCCTTCTAAAAATTAAACAAAACTATATTGATTTTTTTATATATATAAATTAACATTTTCGGCCAAACAACTAATCAAATAACTCATTTACCAAATAAGCTACGAGGTCCAATCAATTAATTTCACATCAATCCGCTAACATTCAAACTGAGACTATCAGCTAATTGAATCAACTATTCGCGTTTTAACAATGTCTTTGCCTTGCCAAAGATAAATTAATGATTGGAGAAGGTAAACAATAATATATATATATATATATATATATATTGTTAATATATATATTGTGAATAATTATTAGAAAAAGTATACAATAATAAATAATACTTTATAAAATTGAAAAAATAAAATAAAAAGGTTAATAAACCGAAACTATGCATAATTAATCCCAAGTAAAATTATTGGAAATGATGGTATCTTTTAAAATCTGATAATTTCGTTATTAGCGTGTTGGCCCCATGTGTTGTTCGCAAATAGATAATTCCGTTATTACCGTGTTGGCCCCAAAGATTCTTTTTATAATCAATACTAAGTCACTTTTATATTTATTTATTCATAATCGGACCCTCATTTTCTAATAATTACACCTATATTCCTCTTAAGTTGTAGATGTAAGTAAAGAAGTGAAATAATTTTCAAATACTGAATATTAAATTGTAGCATGGTTTTATCTTGATTGGAGTAAGACAACTGATGGTTAGATAATTTCACTAATAGTCATAAATTAATTTTGACTGAAAAGCTAATATAAGGAGGCTCGAGGGGCTAGTTGGCAAATCAAGTTGAATCTCCAAGTCTAGTCATCCGTAAGATCCAAATTCATGTTTATCGTAAAATCTTTGCGTTGTATCCGAATGTCCTTGCCGAATATGAGAGGAAAGCCCTTGGAGTATGATAGGTATCCCCTTGGGAAAGGGCTTTCGGGAGAGCAACTCGCGACCCGCGGTTCACGTTGCAGGTCGTGGGATTTAGCATCTGTGACCAGCGGTCCTCCACGCGGCCCGCGGGAAATTTCTGTTTTTCTTGGGACTTGAGTGAGCAACCGACATGTGGTTGCCCTCTTAGACTTATGACATACGTGTGAGGAGCCACGCATGCGGTTGCCCACAACGCTTTTGTAGGCCGTTTGTCGGTTTCGAACACCAATTTTGATATATAAATTTATTTTACCGATAAAAAAAAATCTAATATATGTAATAAAATTATTTGATAAAGTAGCTAAATAAGTCAATCAAATTTAAAACGAGCTTATGTATGCGACTGAAAAGCTAACATATATAATAAAAATATTTAATAAAGTTAGTTAAAGAAGATAATTTAATAAAAAAATTCAATTTACTTAATTGAAACACAATATAGAAACGCTTTTGAGATAAATTAGAATAAACTTGTAAGTTAACCAAGTAATTAGATATAACTTAGCTAATGGTTTTTCCAAATACACCATATATAAAATATCAGCATCTGATTAGAACTTAAAAAGCATGACAATCATCTTTGTTTTTAAATAATATTTGAATTCTTTTTTAAAAAAAAAAAATAATTTAAGTTTAGGCCCCATTTACCAGAGATGATGGGATTGGACAAATTAATCCCTCGAAATCTGCACCATAAGATTTTGGATACAATTGTCTCATGCTTACGAAAGTGGATAAAAGTCTATGATAAATACGTTAAATTACCAATTTAATCAATTAAATTAATATTTTTATAAATTAAATAATAGTATCTTAAATTAAATATTATTATTTTATATTATAAAATATTTTATAAATTAAATAAAATTAATTATATTAATAATTTATAGATGACAATATTATTTTAAATTAGATAGAATTATTTTAGATTAAATAATATTATTTTAAATTAAATAAAAGTATTTTAAAGTAAATATAATTATTTAAATTAATATTTTATAAATTAAATAATATTGTTTTAATTCAAAATAAATTATTTTATATTATACAATATGATATAGCCACACTGGCTCATAACGGTTCATATCATCATGGTCCGAAGCTATCGAGTCGACTTCAACTTAGTCGACTCCTCCAGTAAGGTTCCACAATACACAGTCAAGAATCCCGGCTCTCGACCGAGTCGACGTACACTCGTCGACTAGAATAAGTCGACCTCTGGCAAGACAACGGTCGGACGTATCAGGGTCCACTAACGGTTGAATATGGTCCAGTCGACTCGACTCAGCATCTCGGGTCGACTGAAGAAGTCTTGCGGTTCGTGGTTCTCGATAGCTTTGACACACCTCAGCGCATGGAGGAAGAGTTAAGGATAAGAAGGAAGCCAAGGAAGGATCTAGATGCTGACTAGGAAGTAGGCAGAATACGAACCGACCGGGGTATTCTGGACATTTCCAGTAAGTCGGCCGGGGCACTTTGGGGACTTCAGGTAAATATTACACTAAGGACTGAGGTATTCCCAAAACCCTAACCCCCATTCATTCCATATTCTTTCATTACTGCTGCTGCTCTCATAGCAGCTCTCCTGATCTCTTTCACATACTGACTTGAGCGTCGGAGGCTCTACGCCGGAAACCCCTCCGGCGTTGAGTTCTTGCAGGTGTTCTTGCGGCCCAACAACGGTTCGAACGCCATCACATCAGATCTAAGCTCATTCACACCGGTTCATCCCAGATCCGGACGTTTTTCCACTGGACCGTTCCAGATCTGAGAAGAGACCCAACATTTTGGCGCCGTCTGTGGGGAGTTCTTGAAGGAAGTAAGAGCTTTGCACCTAGTTTGGATCTGTTACCGATGGCCGACAAGGAAGGACCACAAAAGAACTTGAACGAAGATTTCAGGGCGGCGTGGACGAACAAGCGACCCCCGCCGATTCCAAACCTCAGACCGCCACTCCCAGTGTTCGGTTTCCCACCATTTGGGGCACACGCGCCGTCAGGAGGGCGTACGGGGGAAGAAACGCCCATCACCCCACCAGGAGTCAAGATCCCAGTGCTCACTCAAGGGGAGACCAGTCTCGTGAGGAGCACGAGCGGAGAAGTTAACGGTCGTGATTCGATCGAAACACTCCTAAGTCTGGGAAAGCAGCCTGGACCGCCCGAGCCAGGACAGAGGCTGCCGCCCCAAGGCGAGGAGCAAATGTTGACCATAACACGGGGCGAGATGCGAAGGATGATTGCCGAAGCTGTGGCTGCCCAAATCAAACAGACACCAGTCGAACAACCCAGGGTGGAGCAACCCCGAATCGAGCAAGCTAGGATCGAACAACCTCAAAACGAGCAGCAACCTCCTGAACGCGAACTACAGGCGCAATCGCATGAGAGGCAGAACAGGAGGGTA